CTGCCTCCCTGGCTTTCCAGTCTTTCTGGCATCTTGGTTACTCTCTGTAGTGGATAGTGAAATCTACTGCTGCTGCGTCGGGTCCATGGCAATCTTCTCTGGATTGTGTAGTCTGTAGCTGAAGGAAGCTGCCGATTTGGCTGAACCTGTAGATTTTACAGCCAGTTAAGGGAAACTGGAATAGTCGTGTGGGAGTTGATTGAGTATAAATGGGTCGAGAAACCATTTAAACTGAGATACTCAGTCCACACATAGTAAATTTGGGTTTAGACCTAAGTAGTTTAAAGATCACAGCCTTTAGGTTAGAGTAGGCAAAAAACTTCAGACTTTTTCCCCCCTGTTTTAGGATTAATTCTAGATTTTTGTCAAAAGTATAGAGGTATGTAAGGCATTTCTCAGTCCTCTTGGATTTGAAATAGAAGTAAGACACTGCTGAGAAACTTCACATAGAAGACTGCTAGGAAAAAAGAATTGTGTAAGTTGAAAGCTGATTTTACAGAGTTTATATTTGAATGTGTATAAAACATTTCTCTCTTTCTTTCATAGCGGTGGTGTTTGTTGTTGATAGCAGTCACAGAGACAGGGTCAGTGAAGCACACAGTGAACTTGCAAAATTATTAACAGAGAAGGAATTGCGGGATGCCTTGCTCTTGATCTTTGCTAATAAACAGGTACTTGTGATTTTTTTTCACTCTGTTACTCTTTTCCTCAGTTTGTGTGTCAAATTCCAACTTTCTGAACCCTTTGCTATGGGTAGGGAATTGTAATGTGGAAGGCATAAAATGTAGATGTTTTCCTTATGTTTAATGCTGGTAAAATAAGTGATGCTAGAGTGCTTAGTAGATTCAACAACCATTTTTTGTTTTATGGTAACAGGTAGTAAATGCAAAACTGCTTTATTTGGCTTTTGTGTTTGGAAAGCTTTTATGTGACCTGTAGCTTCAGTCTCAGCCATCAGGTAACAATAAAATGCTTCAAACCTAATACAGAAGAATAATTGAGTCTTTCTGTCTGATTCTGTTGCAGGATGTAGCAGGTGCGCTTTCAGTGGAAGAAATCACAGAACTGCTGAGTCTCCACAAACTCTGCTGTGGCCGTAGCTGGTATATTCAGGGTTGTGATGCCCGAAGTGGTACAGGACTTTATGAAGGATTGGACTGGCTTTCAAGGCAGTTAGTGGCTGCTGGTGTCCTAGATGTGGCTTAATTTTACAGCAGCTGCAATTTAAGGTTGTAGCTTACTGTTTTATTTTGTTTGCACGATTTAGGATGTTGTAGCCAGGTCTGCTGCCTGAAAAGGGGGCTTTAATTAACTTGGTGGTTACAGAAAAATATAAGCCTTTATCCTAGATCGGATAATTGGTCAGTAAACTTGTGCCGTTACAGTGTTTTTGAACTTTGATACATTTACAAGTAATGGAATGTGCTCATTGTAAGGGTGCCTTGAAATTCTTTTTGGTGAAATTAGGTTGTTACAATTTAAAATTCTTCCCTGGTAAAATATGCATTGGAGTTCATCTAATAATTATAACAAGGTTACAGTAGTTAATCGGTGTCAGAAAAATTTTGAGTGGTTTAGAAATACTTTCCCAGGAAACTTCCAAGATCCAAGTTAGTAGAATAGCCAGCTCTGTTTATTAGTCAGAAATAAATGGTGCTACTCTTTAATATCTAAAGAATGCATTCATCTAACGGTAACATTGAAAATTACATGGAAATACACCACAAAAAGAAAATGTTTCCCCCATTATTTATTAGTTTTCCTGTTTGTTAGTTGGGTTTTTTGTTAAGTGTACACATGCTAAATTATTTATGGACAGATTATAGTGATATTGAGGTGAAAGCGTTTTGTGTGTGCTTGAGGACGTAATCTGCCTTTAGAGATTAAGCTGACTCCTCAAGAAGTCAAATGAAGTTTAAAAAAAACAACACTTCCTGAAGAAGTGGTGTGGTGTAATGTCAATCCAGCTATGTACTCTTATGTAGAAGTCATGCTTCCAGATTAAGGTACGGGCCTTAAAATATCAAATAACACAATGTAAAGGCAGTGTACGCTAATTATAACTTACTTAGAAGAGTAGATGGTAAAATGTGATATAAAGCTTCCATAATTAGATTCTCAATTCTTACTGTATCTTCTACATGGAACTGTCACCAGTGCCTCTGTTTTTGAAGATTACTCATTCACAAACCCATGAAATATGTGTGTAGCGCTGTTTAAATTTAGAGAAGGTTGCAACGACATAGTGGTGTCTCTTTTTCTGCTGCACATGGAACTCTGCTAACAATTTCATCTGTCTGGTATGCGCACCAGAATCTTCTGCCCTCCTTTTTACATGCACAGGCATTGCCAATTGAAGATGCCATGGACCTCTTCATATCACTAGAGGAGCTACGAAGAGCATGGCCAGTAGATCAAAACTGCACATCATTACTTTTCTTGCTGGACTAGAGGTGGATCGGGAGAACCAGACAGTGGAAGTGAGCAGTGATGTTTCACAGATGGGTGGATATTTTCGCCAGACTGGAAAGCATGTTTACCTGTGAGAGCTCTGAACCTCACCTGGCAAAGAAAATGTATCCCATTATCTGTGGCTATGGCTTTTATTGTAATATTATAAATTTTATGATGTTTTCCCACTACATACCTTAGGTAAAGCCAAGAATGTATAAACAAATAATTTAGTACATTTGCACTTTTCTTCAAGAGGAAGCAGTTAGGGTAACTACTTCCTCATAATGACACTTCTTTGTAGTTTTCTCTTGTTACTTAAATGTCATGTAAATGGTGTTAAATGCAGCTTCAGATTCAGCAGGTCTAATGACTTGAATAGTAGCTGAAAGAACACTAAGCTTTAAAGTAGTTAAATGTTTGTGAAACCGGCTTCAATGCCTATGTATGTACATAGATACTGAGAAAGGGGTATTTACTCTTTCTTTAGACAACCTGATAAATTTGCAAATAGTTTACAACGGAGTGAAAGGTGTTTTCTTGCACCTACCAGACTAAAAATTTTTCATCCTTCCCAGCCTGTAACTTCTTGCACAATAGACGGTTGGCTGCTCTGACTTGAGCATCTGCTTAGCCTGTACTGCAGAGCAGTCCCAGACCTAGTTAGGGCTGACTGTCCCTTCATAGCTCTTTTTTTGAAATGTGAACAAGTTCTGCTAAGCATGGTAGATACCTTTTCCTGGAATATTTTTAACAGAGAAGACGCATTCTTTAGAAAAATCCTGATTCTCTAATTTTATTTGAGCTGGCTTATGCTTCAGTTATACATACCTCTCAGTATAGTTCTACTTCTACTTTAAAATGTTCAAGGTGACCAGTTTGGATTTTTTGTAACATTACATTTGAGGGCAGAGGAAAAATTCTCACTCATGCATATTTTTGAGTACAAAGGACTGCTTGTGACACATGGAATGCTACCATAAAAGTGTTTTTAAATGGAATTTATTTAAGATGACTTAAGTAGCTGTGAAAGTGTTGCATTCGTCTGTGAACTCTTCAGTGTAAGCAGGTACACTGAGGTTTATTTGTATTATAAATTAATACTACATATAAACTGCTTCATTTACACATTTAAGCTTATTTCACCAGTTTTACTGAACTTTAGTTTTTAGTGTACTGACTTACACAATATGTAATTGGAATATTTCCTCAGCTAGAACTCACTCAAGCATTATGACGAGGATTATTTGAAAAGACTGAATGACTTTTCGTAGGATTTTGACTTAACTGTGAAATTGAGTGAATACAAGATCCAGTGACTGTGTTGTGGCTTTCTTTAAAGAATCTCAGCTCAAAAGTAGTATGTCTAGGCTAACTGAAAAATGTTTTATCACTTGATATGGTCTTACTGTATGTTACCTTCAAATTTACTGGGGACTATGTGGTACATGAGGGTTTTATTCTGAGATAGTTCTTTATTCTGAATTGTTGGAGCAGGTGTGGAAGTTATGTAAAGATTTCTTGAAAGAAAGGGCTGTTTTAGTGGAAACAATTCATGAGCTGCTGCAATTTGAGTTGCCCAGAAAATGAATTCTTTTCAATAAAAGTATCTAAAATGTTGAGAATGAATTTTAATAAACCTGCCTTTTTATTGTTAAGGTCATCTCAGAATAGAGGTGTGCTACATTTAAGTTACTGTGGACGACTTCTTATTGATCCCTGAAGGTATCACTTCATCACACTAAGATAAGCTTCCTTGTGGTAGCACATTTTGAGGAACTGAATTTGATTAGCTTGCATCACATCTGATTTAATGAGTGAAGTTACCAGAACGGTGAACTCCTCATTCTTGTATGAGTGCAGTGGTGTTATGTGAACATAAACAGTCAAAGTCAATGTTACTGTATTTAGAGCAGACCTAACTCTCCAGCACAGTAACAGGACCATATCTAGCCACAGACTCACAACAGCTTGAGAAGCTGTCTGAGCTTTCACTGACGACTGCATCAGAAACACCTGACGTAAGCTTAGTTGAGAAGACTGCTGTCATTTATTTTAAAGGAAGTATTTCAGTAGAAGTAGTAGAGTTTGTAGGACTTTGGGTAAAAATTAAGCCAGAAACAGACTCCCTAGGCTAAAATAATGAGAAACCAAGCATTGAAAGAAAAAAAACATTATTGGCAACGCCAAACAAGTTGCACAGGACTTTAAACACTGGCATTCCAAGAGTTGATCGCTGCTCTTGGATACAGAAGACACAACCATTTTTAAAGGACAGAGGTAGATTAGATACCTTGTCATAGCAAACAGTATGATAACATAATCTAAGTTTTGATGCATCTACAGTTTACTCAGCCTAGGATTTCTGACCTTTGCCTCTGTCAAAGATTTCAATACTGTGAAAGGGCTTATTTAGAAATGAAAGATACAAATAACATGAAAAAGCTAAAAACTATACCCTGATCCTATTTTATAAACAGTATGATGTGACATGGTGTGGGTTTTTATCTTCAGTTTTGCATAGAAGAGGTGCAAGAAAAACAGCAGACTTTGTAAGAAACATGCACATTTTTACTTTAAAATACAAAGTTATCAGAAATATAGACTTAGGGCACTTCAGGTACATTTAAAATAGTAGAACTGGTGATTGCTCTGTCCTAGCACTTCTTATATCTAGGAATTATCAAAAATGTTTCTGTTCCTTCTAGGTCCATTTTTGGGTCCCACCATGCTGAGTTTTTTCTGCTTAAGCTGGAACCTTCAACTCCTAGCTTACTTCACTGTGATATTGATGATGCTGATATCCTCATAGGGTTTGTCGGTTTTAGGATTGACTTTTACATTGGAGATTCTCTGAACAACTTCCATTCCTTTAGTTACCCGTCCAAACACGCTGTGCTTGTTGTCTAGCCATGGCTGTTAGAGGGCACAGGAGGAGAAAGAATAAAGCACATTAAAATAGAAAGCAGCATGTAGGTTGGGTACCAGACCAGAAGGAGACTGACCTAGAATAAGTGAACACGGATACATTTTATATGTTCAGACTATGAAACTTAACACCATGTAAATATTAGCATGTAAATTAGAGTGCGGCTAATACATATTCATATGCATTTAAACTCACCTTTTCTGTTGTTTTCTTAAAGTACTACAGAGGTCAAGTTCTAGCAATGCAGTAGCATTTCATAGTTTACTTTAAAGTGTATTCTCAGCTCACAGAAATGCTGTTTCAGTCTCCATACTTCATGGTATTTTCACAGCTGAATTCTAAGTGCCAGTCCAGAATATTACTAAACTCAAAGGCATATTCATACAGTATGCCTAATTAGCAATCTGAATACAGGCAGTGATATAACTTAATAAGCCTCAAAATTATGGTAGATGGTTGCTTTTAAAGAGAGACACATGATTTTGAAGTAAGTGCTGTAAGAATGCAGTTTCTGTAAGTGTTACCTTTAAGGATTTGTTTTGTATCTGTTGGATTCATATACCAAAATTTCTTTTTTTGGCTCTGAAATTGTACACAGATCAAAGGAAATCTTCAAACCTGCATATTGGCTTCTTTGTACAGCTATAATTAGGCAATATTAAGGAGTCATCCTGGCACCACATCCAAAAACTTGAAACAATCTAAGTAATGGCTAGTTTTCCATCAAGTTTTAACCAGTATATTAATATAAAATACTCTAGTAATACACAGTTGCAAACATGTCTGATTTACTAAGAATTTGATATCGCCCTTACTCCAATTAAAGGCAAAAGGCCTCTTGACCAGAACTGACAAAAATACTTTTCTGTTTCTTAAAGGACAGTTTCAGTGAAGCCTACACAGGATACATTGTTGTGTGCAGCATTTATTTGCAAAGTAATAGGATTATTTAGATAGTACTAGTGTGTTCCTTTTTCCATCAGAAAAAAATATATTTTTACTATCTAGTATAGCATCTCAGGCCTTAAATTGAGCTTTTAATATTACTTACAGTTGGCACTACTGTTATAAAAAACTGGGATCCATTGGTATTTGGTCCTGCGTTAGCCATGCTGAGCGTGTATGGTCTGTCATGTCGTAACGTTGAATGAAACTCATCTTCAAATTCTCCTCCCCAAATACTTTCGCCTCCCATTCCTGTACCAGTTGGGTCACCAGTCTGAATCATGAAACCCTGCACAGAAATGAAATGTTATTACATCATTGCATAGAATAAATAAGCGAAAGTGTTTTATGCCAGGTGACATTTTTTTCCAACTTACTTCAAACCTTTCAACAAAATGTGTTAAAATGCTGTGGATAAGGGACAAAGCGGTCAGGGCTTCTTTAAGTGATAATCGAGTACTTGTGAAGAAACAAGCTTACTCACTGTTCCTGCTAGTGACAGACAGAAACCTGACTCTCTTTAGTTTCTGTAAAGACTTAGGCTGTATCAGCTTGATTCTGGTGCAACAGAAGTAAGAAGCCTTACAAGAAATGCCTTCTGACATGAAACAAAGTCTTAATTCAAGCAGGATTGCTGAACTGATCCTTCTCTCAATTTTCAGATTTCTTCCACCTTGTCAGTTACAGAACAACTATTAAACAACCTCAGTAAGTGATAAAGCTGTTTAGAACCTCGGAGTTGCTCAGACTTTACAGGGAACTCTGAAGCCACTCTGGAAATCCTTTGTGCAAAAGGGAAATGAGAGGGTTAACAGAGAGGACTGACCACAAAGGTACATTATTTAAACCAACGAAAAATTAACTTTCGACGAGTTACCTTGATGATACGGTGAAATATGTGTCCATTGTAATAACCATTTCTGCTGTGCACACAGAAGTTTTCCACTGTTTTGGGGCACCTAAGATCACGCAACAGAAAATACAGGCTACAATGAATATTTAATTGTATAGCGGCAAGGGCATAAAGATTTCAGCTAAGACTAAGATCCTGTTGTACTGAGCACTGTTTCAGCACATTGTAGAAAGGGCTTTCATCAAGGAAAAACAAATCCCCACCTCCTCAAACCCAAAGCTAGAAGCAAAAAGAACTGAGAGGAGTACAAAGTTGCACGATTACACAGGAAGGTAGCAGCAGTGTTGATGATAACACAGGAATGTCTCCGTTACTGCTGAGCAGTGCTTACACAGAGTCAAGGCCTTTTCTGCTTCTCACCCCACCCCACCAGCGAGGAGGCTGGGGGCGCACAAGAAGCTGGGAGGGGGCACAGCCAGGACAGCTGACCCCAACTGACCAAAGGGCTGTTCCATACCATATGACGTCATGCTCAGCATATAAAGCTGGGGGAAGAAGAAGGAAGAGGGGGACATTTGGAGTGATGGCATTTGTCTTCCCAAGTAACCGCTACGTGTGACGGAGCCCTGCTTTCCTGGGGATGGCTGAAC